GAATAGTGACTTCAGTAGGATTGTCCAGTAGAGATGAGACCTAAGGCCATGTGTCAGACACCTAAGAGTTAGAACTAACAGGTGTTAGGAGGAAGAGACAGTTCTTACCACAAGTACATAAGCTACTAAATATTCTACCCTGACATTGCCTGAAAACAAACAAATTGTATTAGAGATACAGCATTCACATAAAAACTAATAGAAAATCTTTTAAAAAGAAAAAAAATATTCAAGCATTGAAAAAGAATCAGGAAAGAGACTCTGTGTGCAACAAACATAAGAGAAAGAAAATGTAGGAAATCAAGTAAGACTTTAGAACATCTATGATTAATATAGACTTTAAGCATTTACATCCATTACAAAAGTATTCATTAGAAATGAGAAAAAGGGCATTTAACTACACAAGAAGAAATTTAATTTTTAAAAATTTTAAAATAGCACTTAATATAATATTTATATACCAGGATCTTTGAAAATCCAAAAGTTCAAGAAGATTGAAGCAATTTTATGAAACTTCAGAGTTTAGGAAAAGATACACAAAATATCATTATGTATTATTTATAGAAACATAAGATAAATTACAAAAAACTTTCATGGAAAACATCATACCAACTGTGGAAGACATTGAATATCTTGCTATGGAAGGGAAGGAGATTGAGGTTGAGTGAGAAGCTCTGCATATTTGTATTTTTCTTTAAAAGATATATTTAAGGCTGGGCGTGGTGGCTCACGCCTGTAATCCTAGCACTCTGAGAGGCAGAGACAGGTGGATTGTTTTAGTTCAGGAGTTCGAGACCAGCCTGAGCATGAGTGAGACCCTGTCTCTACTAAAAGAATAAAAAAAAGAAATTAGCTGGACAACTAAAGACATCTAGAAAAAATTATCCGGGCATGATGATGCATGCCTGTAGTCCCAGCTGGTCATGAGGCTGAGGCAGTAGGATCGCTTGAGCCCAGGAATTTGAGGTTCCTGTGAGCTAGGCTGACACCACAGCACTCTAGCCCAGGCAACAGAGTGAGACTCTGCCTCAAAAAAAAAAGAAAAATTTAAACTCAGTTATTTTTCACAGGTTCACACCAATGAAAATACTGTTAACAGGTTTTTTTTTTTGTTTTTTTTGTTTTTTTTGTTTTTTTCTGATCTCATACTTAAACACAGAATGTATTATCGGTTACAAATACAGGTGTTCATCCTGGCAAGTGAAATTGAAATCCTGTTAAATTTAGGAGTATCCCTATGATTTGCTTTGACAGTGAAATATGAGCAGAAGAAATGTTTTACTTTGGCGTCTCCTGGATTGTTAAAACGTGTCTAAATGAAGTTTCTGTGACATAGCGCAAAGGAACTAATAAGAGTCCTCTTGTTGATCTGAGATGAACATGAGAAATAAACGTGATTATTTTATAAGCCACTGAAAATTTTTCTTTTATTGTTAGTATAGCATAACCCATTCTATCCTAATTGACACAGCCACTAAGTTTCCTGAGGCTCTTTGATTATCACAAGACATTTCCCTTGGGATGTAGAAAGTCAAGAGAAGAGAATAATAAATCATATGATCAGAAAATGTTAACAGTAAAAAACTATTAGAATAAATTAGTTCAGTGGTTTCTACACCTTAGGTTCTAAGTAACTAGTAAAATTGCCAAAAGTTGTGTAAAAAGATATTTCAATATAAAAAGTAAAGACATTTAATTTTAGAAAAAAATCTTCCATCAATAAATTGTTCTGTTCCTTCCCTCCCTTCCTTCTCTACTTAAATAAATCTAAAATAAATCTAATCTGATTTTATTAAATGAGATCTAAGGATGAGACAAGTAGCATTTACTGTAAGCTCTCCCTGTTCATGAGTTGCACAGCTGTGGATTCAACCAACTGGATTGAAAGTACTAGAAGAAAGAAAGATGATTGCATCTGTACTGAACATGTACAGACTTCTTTATATCATTATTTCCTAAACAACACAGTATAACCACTATTTACATAACATTTGCATTAGGTGTTACAAGTAATCTAGAGATGATTTGTGGTGGTCTCTAACCTTTTTCACACCAGGGACGGATTTCATGGAAGATTTTTCCAGGGGAGCAGAACTCTATGACCCAGTCCCTAACAGGCAGTGGACCGATTGCAGATCATAGATTTAAAGTACACAGGAGGATGTTCATAGGTTACATGTAAATACTACTTTATTAAAGGACTTGAGAATTTATGGATTTTGGTATCTTAAGTAGATCCTGGAATCCATCCCCCATGGATACTGAGAGATGAGGGATGACTGTACTTAAATAATTACTTTAAAAATTAACAAAACCATTTGCATGGTGAATACAGACATGCACCACATATATGATGGTAGTCTCATAAGATCATAATACTCTATTTTTACTGTACCTTTTCTATGTTTAGAGACACAAATACAATGTGTTACAGTTGTCTACAGTATTTGGTACAGTCACATGCTATACAGGTTTGTAGCCTAGAGCGATAGGCTATATACCATCCAGGTTTGTGGAAGTACATTCTGACATTTCCACAATAATGAAGTCACCTAAACACACAATCCTTGTGACCCTGCCATTAAGGGAAGCATGACTGTAGTTAGAGAAAAAATAGTGCAGGCATACCTTTGCCATTACCATATTTCTTACAGCCACGATTACTTAAATTTACACTGGAAAAAGAATTCACAAAACAAGGGACAGACTAGGAGAATTTATTTGCAATATATAACAATAACAAGAACATAAGAACTCCAAGTACTCCTTAAAAAGAAAAAAAAAAAAAAACCTAAAACAAAAATAGATGGGAAAAGGAACAGGTATATCTCAAGAAGAAACCCAAATGGCCAAAAAAAAGTGAAATGATGCTCAGCCTTGCTAGTAATTTGGGAAATACAAATTAAAATCAATCATTTTACATCTATTAGAAAGCCAAAAATTAGAGGCTTGATAATATCAGTTTGTGGTGAGAGTAAGATAAAAGGTGCCATGATATTCCGTGTCACTGCTAGATAGAGTACAAATTGGTACTTACGTATGGGCAATTTTATATAATGTTAAAATTTAATGTGCTTTAATTTCCACTTCTCTAGCCTACAGAAATATTCACCCATTTGTACAAGAGACATGAACACGAATGGTCATAACATTTCTCATAACAGCGAAATCTTTAGAAATGTTCATTACATTGAAAAATGGCTAAATAAAATGCAGTGGACAATAGCCTACTACGTGATCTTAGTCCAATTAGCATATTCTGTATTTCAGTCCTTTAAAAGACTCACCTTCTTAATTAGAAAATTGTAAAAAGAATGTGTTCTTTTGTATGTCCATTTGGTCAAGTTAATTAAAACTGTTCAAATCTGCTTGTTCTAACAGCTACTGAGGTGGATATATTAAGAATCTCCCATTATACTTGTAGATTTATTATCTATTATTTCTTACTATTCTGTCAAGTTTTTACTTTATCTTAAACCTAAGTTTTAAGAGAAGTAAACACTTGTAATTGTTGATTTTCTAGTCAGAGACAAACATACTTAATTATGAAGTGTAACCATTTTATTTTTGTCATTAATTTGATTTTTAGATTCATTTTGTCCAATACTGATAAAGTTACACTAGCTTTCCTTTGGTTAGAATTTGCATGGCTTATTGTGTTCTACCTTTTTATCTTTGCCTGTTTTGTATTCCCATTTTTAAAAATCATGTCTGAAAATGCTTGTCTTTTAACAGAAACATTACCTTTACGCTGAATGTGATTATTATATTTGTGTTTAAATCCACTTTCTTAATGCCCCACTCATTCTTTTTTTTCATATTCTTGCCTTAAGTTTTTATTAATCTTTTTTTTAACTCTTTACCACAATAGAAATTATGTACTGTTTCTATTCTGCTAATGGTTAACACTGAAATTATACCACGCATATTTTCAAAGTCCAAAGTGAATGCCTGTGCCCATTGCCAAATGCAATAAACTGACCTTAGAACACTTCAAGATTATCCTATTCCAGTTTATAGTCAATATTTTTATTTTTGAAATTGCTCTCGTATTTTTAATTCTGCAAGGCATTATTTTTTGAATAATTCTTACCACTTCTGTAATCTTCTAAACATAATAATAACTAGCTAAGCAGAACTTTCAGATTTTAAAATATTTTCACATATAGTATTTTATTTGATTATCATAACAATCCAATGAGGGAGAATGAGTAGTAGGTAAGAGCTCATTGTGCAGTTAGACTGCTTGGCTTTGAATTTCAGTCCCAATAGTTATTTCAATTTGACCATGGAAAAATCCTATTAATCTTTCAGTGCCTCTGTTTTCTCATTTTAAAAATAAATAGGAATAATCATAATTCTATCTTGCAAGGTAAAAGTGAGGAATCAAAGTGATAATGTAAGGAATTGGCACATAATAAGTAACCTGATGCATTTTGTTTTTATTTATCAGTACTATTGTCCTCACATTCTAAAGACCTAAATGAAATCTATAGACTTGAATGTTTTTTCTAATGTTTACATAATAGATGGTGAAGCATGGATTTAAAGTAAACTTTTTTATTTAGTGACTTAGTTTACACTCTAGTCCCATTTAACTAGCTTGACCCAGTCCTATGCTAATCTGGTCTTTAAGGTCATTTTAGCAAAAGTTTTTTTTCTATATATTGATATAAGAGATTCAAGAAAAAATATATATTAGTTGAGATTGGGAGACAAAATTATAGAAAGAGAAAGGAAGACAAAGAGAAAGCAAACAGCACAAGAGGTACAGTGTAATAAGAAGAGGTACAGGGCAGCAAATTGAGCAGGGGAGGGAAGACAGTGGTTTGCTTAGGAGACAGGAGTGTAGTAGCCAATCTGGTGTCATCCTGAAATTCAGACTAGTACAAATTGAAATTGGAAAGTTGGAGGAGGTCTGTAAGGCTACACATTGACAGGAAGAGGTTATAGAAAATCAATAAAATCCTAAATCCAGCAATTTTTTTTTCCAACTGAAGAGAAAGCAAAAACAAAACGCTGAGATATTTTGTTACTTTATGATTGGAAAACAGATCTGTGGATTTGGAAGATTGCTGACTTAAAGAACTCAAAGTGGTAAGTTATTTTAATGTGTTTTTGGAGTCTCATATTGGTTGCCCCCCACCTCTGCCTTTTGTCTTGAAATGAGTGGTTTCTGTCATATGATTCGATATAGTTCAAAGTTTCAGAGTCTATTTTAGGTTTGTTGACAACTTGTGTTTCAGTGTCCTCCAGTACAAAATGTACTATTTATATTGGAAATGTGTCTTAGCCTTGGCCCAAAAGGTTTCTCTGATTTCAGAGATCTGGCAGGCAAACTTGATTATCTTTGCCTCTTTTCTCTAACCTTCATATGTGACATGTTTTGAGTCAGGTTTATTTCATTCTTTTATTTATTTTGATTGGAGGGCTTATAGGGAGGGCTACTTTACTGTTTTAAGAAAACTTTTCATAATTCAGTGTAAAACTCAGGGGAATTATGACTTTTTTTTTCAGTAAGAGAAACCACTAACTTGACCGAGTCCCATTGTAAATTACTACCTAAAGCTTTAGAGTATTGAAAACTGGGAAAACAGAAAAAAAAGTCAAAACATTTAGAAATAAATATAAATGATAAAATAGCATACATACATGTGAGATTAAAGTATCACTATTAATTTTTTTTTTTTTTTTTTTGAGACAGAGTCTCACTCTATTGCCCCAAGCTAGTGTTCCATGCCATCAGCCTAGCTCACAGCAACTTCAAACTCCTGGGCTCAGACGATCCTTCTGCCTCAGCTTCTCGAGTAGCTGGGATTACAGGCATGTGCCACTATGCGCAGCTAATTTTTTCTATATATTTTTAGCTGGCCAATTAATTTGTTTCTATTTTTAGTAGAGATGGGGGTCTCATTCTTGCTCAGGCTGGTTTCTAACTCCTGATCTTGAGTGATCCGCCCACCTCGGCCTCCCAGAGTGCTAGGATTACAGGCCTGAGCCACTGCGCCCAGGCCCCTAAAATTTTTAATGATACTTCTATAAAATTACTTGGTATAAAGATTTAATTATGAGACATTTAGGCTAAGAACTGTGAATAAGGAGAGCAGATAACTTGTCTTTTCTTGGTCAATGTTAATTCATTTCCATGTTGAAGTTCATTCTCTGGTACAGATATAAAGCTACATTGGATGGGAGAAAACTTTGTGAATAACTAATATATAGGTAGAAAGGAAGTTATAGAAAGACACAAGTTTTTTGGATGTTGCTACTTTTTGCTTAATGTTTAACTCTTTGTTTAAGTCATGACTTTGGTGCTGTTTAAGTTGACTTTAAGCTAAATGACCAAATTTATAGTGCTTGATGTGTTCAGAGAAATCCTGAATTTATACTAGAATCTTCCCTCTATAATACCATTTCATATTATGGACATTAAATAAAATAACAGATACTTCTTATGTAATATTAATTGGAAAAAAATACTTTCTAAAACATGAGAAACTGGGTAATTTTGAGTTAACAGAATTTTCTTCTTCTTGACATTGGATATGTTTTATTGAAACTTCATGTATGAATGCCCCTTAAGGACTATTGGGTTTTTTTTGTTTGTTTGTTAGGTTATTATCAAATGTCCTATTTCATATTTTTAAAGGAATTCCCAAGGTATCTCATTTGGCCCATTATAGTAACCATTTAAGCTTTAGAGTAAAGGGAATTTCTTTGCAGAGCAATCCAGGAAATATGCAATATGAGCAATAGAGCATTGATATTAACAATTGTGAATAGCTACTCTGAGGATAACTCTTTTGGGATAATTATTCTAGGAAATGGACATAACAATTATTTTAAATCCTTATTTTTTGTTTTGTTTTTGGCCAAAGACATCAAGGATTTGTTTGCAGACTGTATTTCACAAGATAAAAATATATTTTAGTTTTTTTAATGCCTCTCCTATGGGGTTTATAGCTCTTCGTATTGCTTGCTTAAGTTAAAAATTAACATTAAATGAGAAAATATATGACACTGCATGGCCCTTAGTAGAAGCTTATTATATGTTTGTATAACTTCACCTATCCTGAGATGCTAACAAAATTCCCCACATTTCTGCAAGTTATCCCTTATTTTAATAACATCCTACTTTGTGAAAAACACTGATTTGTTATTAAAAGAACAGTTCAGAGTTAACTGATAAGAATTAACAGTTCAGAGTTAACAATAATAAGAAATATACTTCAAAACCAATGTGTAATTGCCATAAATTCTTTAGGGGGTGGTGGGAAGGGAATAAAATGTGGAAAAAATTACAAGTGGAACACATTGCTGATTCTTCTCATCTCTATCCATTTCTCTAGGGGAAATGAAAGTAAGTCTGTGAGTAGAATGGGAAGTAAGAGTGGAATGGGAAGACAATGGCCAAGTGATAATAGAATGATGGTGGGAAGAGAGTATAAGTTTATGGCAGTTTAGCAGAAGTAGTAAAAATAATAATACAATAATAAAACATTACGGCAACCAAATATATTGAGCTTCTACTATATCCATACACTGGGATAACAGCTTTATTTGCATTATCTGTTTAATTATGGTAACAACTCTATGAAGTACTTACTACTTTTTCTAGTTCATAAATAAATTTAAAGAATTACTTTCTAGGGTCACACAGATGATAAATGGAAAAGTCAGGATTTAAACTACAGTTCATGTAATTCCTAAGGTCATGTTCCTTAACCATTACATTTTAGCATTTGGAGCCTTGTGTCAACTATGAAGTTCAAAGGTTGCTTCTTTTCTCTCTCACTTTGTACCATGAGCCCTATTTCACCCACTATCTAGTGAGTCTTCTCTCCTATTCTGATGCTAATATTTATGTACAACCAGTTGGTCTCTTATACTCCTTGCAAATTTCCCTTCCTTATTTTTCTTTGAAACACTTTCTCTGATAACAAAACTCTGAGTTTGGAGGTACCTCTTTATCCCCTCCTTCCTACTGCCCTGCCCCATCATTTATGTAGATTGGGGCTTTGCCCAAAGTTGTGTCTTTGTGTTCAACAACTCTTTTGGTACTTTGTCAACTCTCAAGGATCCAGCTCTCCAGACCTGATAATTCAGCCAGTATGCACTGGCCTATACATACTAGTTGCTTAGCGATAGCATCTGCTCTGTGTCTGTACTAAATCAGTAATTGTTTTGTGTTCTATTTTTCAAACTATAATTGCTGTGTTTAAAATTCCCCAAAATTTTGCTTCTTTCTTCATGTCCTTTTTAATTGTTTTTATATGTCCAATTGCCTTAAAAGTGATACCTCAAAATCAGTTTCTCCCCATATTAGTCCCTCAGTTTCCCTAAACCACGTCTGCCACTAGATTGCACTATTAGTGGTAAAGGCATTGCCATTCTTAACATTCACCCAAACTTTAAATCATGGAGCCTCCTTTGACTCTGTCTTTTCTCTATTACTATCTTATATCTGATTCACTGTCATTTCCTATAGAGTCAGTCTCCACAAAATCTTTTACATCTATTACAGTAATCCTCCCTTATTGGAGGGGGATACGTTCCAGGACCCGGAGTGGATGATTGAATACACAGATAGTACAAACCCTATATAGTCCCCTCTCCAGTATCCATGAAGGATTGGTTTCAGGACATCCATGATACCAAAATGCACAGATGCTCAAGTTGCTTATATAAAATTGTGTAGCATTTGCATATGACCTACGCACTTCCTTCTGTATACTTCATATCATCTCTAGATTACTTATAATACCTAATATAATGTAAATGCTATGTAAATAGTTGTTATACCGTATTGTTTAGGGAATGATGACAAGAAAAAGTCTGTACATCTTCAGTAGAGACACAATTATCCATTTTTTAGACTATTTTCTATCCACAGTTGGTTGAATCCAGGGATGCAGAACCCACAGATATGGAGGGCCAACTATATATACCATGTTTTTTCCTATATATACATATTTATAACAAATTTATAAATTAGACACAGTAGGAGACTAACAACAACAATAAAATAGAGCAATTATAGCAATATAATATAATTAAAGTTACAGGAATGTGGTTTCCCTCTCTCTAAATTCTGTAATATTTTTAGTAATCCTAGCACTCTGGAAGGCCGAGGCGGGTGGATCGCTCAAGGTCAGGAGTTCGAAATCAGCCTGAGCAAGAGCGAGACATTGACTCTACTAAAAAAAATAGAAAGAAATTAATTGGCCAACTAAAAATATATAGAAAAAATTAGCTGGGCATGGTGGCGCATGCCTGTAGTCCCAGCTACTCAGGAGGCTGAGGCAGGAGGATTGCTTGATCCTGGGAGTTTGAGGTTGCTGTGAGCATAGCTGACGCCACGGCACTTTAGTCAGTGAGTCTCTGTCTCAAAAAAAAACAAAAAAAAACACACTGTAATATTTTTGGACCATAGTTGACCACAGGTAACTAAGACTGTAGAATGCAAACAAACTGCAGAAACTGAAACCATGGATAATTTGGTGGAGGGGGGAAACTACTCTATTGCTGAGTAACAATAATAACTCATGTCTCACAATTCTATGGGTTGACTAAGTGGTTCTTCTGCTGGCTTAGCCCTGGCTGAACTCACTGAACTTCTCTTAGCCAGTGAGTCAACTCAGATGGTTGGAATAGCTAGGGACAACTAGACTTCATGTGGTCCTCATCCCAATTATACTCACAGCACAATTAATAAGCTCAAAGTTTCAGGAGATCAAGCCCCTTGTGCAAATCATAGTCAAACTTCTGCTTATGCTTATGTATTGTTTGCTGGTATCCCATTGGACAAAATAAGTCTCAAGCTAATCTTATGTGGAAAGTTTATATAGAAAGAGACTCCACATAGTTGTGGAGACTGGGAAATATTGTTCATTGAGTGGCCATTATTGTATGAATATATTTGATTTACATTGTAAATTTATTATAATTGATTGAACATTTGCATGTCCAGCATTCTGGACCAAGCTTCTTGAAGGTAGATGTCACATCAAATATTACCAGAACCTAACAAAATGATCGGCATTGCCTTATGTGCTCAATAAATGGCTGTAACATACAAATTCTAAGTTCCATATATGGTGTAAGTCATTAGCATAACACGGGGTATGTACTCAATGATTTTTTAAAAATTAATCTTATGTTAATAATTGTATGATGTACTCAACTCTAATTCTTGCAAAAATATTGTACATTTGAAGGGAGTAAGGCCTAGAGGGATTGAATAAATTGTCCAGGCTCCTGTGGTAAGTAATAAAGGCAGAATTTGATAATAAGTCTAATTATAAATTGACATTCTCTGTATTACACTAATATTTCTTCTAGAATACTGGAGTTATGATGTCCAATATGGTAGCCACTAGCAACAATTGGCTACTAAGCAATTGAAATATAGGTAACCTAAACAGAGATATGCTATAAGTATAAAATACACTCTGGACTTCAGATTTTGTATATGAACAGAATGTGAAAAATTAATATTTTTATATTGTTTACATGTTGAAATGATAATATTTTGTGATACATTAGGCTAAATAAAATTTGCCATTAACATTAACTTCCCTGGTTTCTTTTTGCTTCTTTTAATGCAGCTAGTAAAATATATTAAATTATATATATGATTTACATTATGCTTCTGTTAAAGCTGATCTAGAGGTTATGTTAAGTTAGAGAAGGGACACATCCACATACAAAATAAACAATAATAAAAAGAAGGATATGATCACTGTTGTATTGATAGGAAAAATTCATTCAGATGGGAATAGGGGAAGACAAAATTGATTTGAAGAATGGGTTTGACTTCAATGAAAGGTAAGGTGAAATTGCTGTTAAGTAAAAAAAAAAAACAAACAGAATTATCAAGTGTAGAAGAGGAGCAAGGAGAATGGTAAGAAGTCAAAATAGTGTTTTAGAAATGTAAGTTAGGTGTGAGGGAACCATGGGAGTTAAATTAGGAAAGGTATATTGGGGGCACTCAAAATCAGGGAGATTTTCATCTGAAAGCTATTGAAACTATTGAAGTTTTTATTTTGCTTATTTTCTTTTAAACAGGAAAGTAATGATTAAAACTTTTGGAGTGTATCAGATGCATTAGAAGGCAAAGAACAGAGATAGACACTAGAAAACATGTGTATTAGTAAACAGAGCAATGATGAAAATTTGAACTAGGATTACAGCAGTAAGAATGAAAATTAGGAGGGCATGATTGATTGTTACAATAGTTTTCCCTGGATAGTGTTCACAAGGTTGGCTAGGGGAAGGACCAATGAAGAGCATTAGGATTGATAAAGGAATACTGAAGATTCATAGCATTCTATATGCCCTTCCCCAAAGCTGGAACTTTCTCATTTTTCCTCATGTTAATAAGTGGGTATCACCACCAAATACCTATATCTTTAATATGTTTCTTTTCTTCATACTTCACCTCTGGTTTATCCATAAACTGATTGCTATTTACCTCTGAAATTTATATATGCACTAGTTCAAGCCACTCACCTCTTCCCTTGACCACTATAAAAGTCTTTTAACTGATCTTTCTCTCTCTCTTTCCTCTTATCCTACCATAATTTGATTTCTTCCTAGAGTCAAGAGAGAAGTTCTTTTAAAATTTTCCCCTTCATATAGCCTCAATGTCTCTCTCTTTCTTCATGTTCTACAAGGTCCTACATGATCTGGCCTACCTCTCTGATCTCATCTCATTTTACTCTCTCCTTTATCACACTGGCATTAGGATTTATAAAGGAATAATTAAGATTCATAGCATTCTTTATGCCCTTCCCCAAACCTGGTATCTCCTCGTTTTTCCTCATGTTAATAAGTGGTATCACAACCAAATACCTACATCTTTAATATTTTTATTTTCCTCATTCTTCATCTCTATCCATAAACCAATTGCTGTTTACCTCTGAAATATATCTTATCTATGCCCTAGTTCAAGCCACTCACCTCTTTCCTAGGCCACTATAAAAGTTTTTTAACTCACTTCTCTCTCTCTCTCTTCTTATCCTCCCATAATCTGATTTCTTCCTAGAGGCAAGAGAGATTTTATTTTAAAATATTGCAGTCTTCCAAGTCCCCTTCCTATAGCCTCAATGGCTCTCCCTTTCTTCGTGTTCTACAAGGTCCTACATGATCTGGCCTACCTCTCTGACATCATCTTTTATCACACTGGCTTTCACCATGCTGACTGTATTTTTGTAATTGTTTGGCATATTCTTAGATTTTTTTCCTTCCTTGGGCTATTGCTCTTGCTTTTTATCTAGATTGTTCTTTCTCCGATCTTCTAATGACTGGATCCTTCTACTCCTTCAAATCGTAGCATAAAGTCACTTCCTCAAGGATGTCCTCCCTGACTACTCAGTCTTAAATACCCTCATGGTGAAGTCACTCTCTATTGTATTATCCTGTTATTTCATAATAGTTAACACTGGTATCTGAAATTATTTTTATCATCATTGTTAGTACTACTATTATTACTACTGTGTACCAAAATGTTTTCTTTCTTTCCCTTCTACTAAGCTCTCTGAGAACAGGAACCTGTCTGTCTTATTCATCTTTTTGTCTTGAACATCACCCACAGTGTTTAGCCAAAGCAGACACTCACTTAATATTTATTGCATGGATGAAGTTTTTCCCACCTGTATTATTACTCTCTTTGATAGGATATCACTTACATTAAGAAGGAAAAGGGATGTGAATTCATTTATTTAGTGTTTTATTAGTTACAAGAGATATTGGGCTATGGGGAGAAAACAACACCCACCACCACCACATATTTACTACTATAGCTACTATATTAAAGATATGATTTGATAAAGACATGAAAAAGTCTATTTTTTCAATTCATGGGCATTTAAATTCCAAAGAGTTTTTAAAATCTTAATGCAGAAATTTAAATAACCAAAAATTTGCCTTCGAGGTAGCAAACAGCTGAATTTTTGAAATTGATACATTACATAATTTTTCTTTTTGAAATGGAAACATTACAAACATTTGCAAATAGATACTTAAAGCAATATTTGGGATATTCCATTCAGTTGGCTCTGATTTTTATTTTCTTTTTGTTAGTGAGGGACATCAGAAGTAAAATCTAATCCTGATTAAATAATACATAAATAAGCACTATTTATATACATATAATGCCAGAGGTTTGAAAAGGTTAATATTATCACAATAAGAAAAAATCATTAAGTTCTAAAGGTCATTTAGATTATTTTATGGGAGATTTTTTGTATGTTCTTCACCTGTTGAGTTACCATTATTATTGATAATCCTTTTCAGATTATGAGTAAACAGTTTGTGCTCCAAGTATTTTATTCATGCTAATATTTACTTTGTAAAATGTGCTTCTTACAGGAGTATAAATAGTTTCTAAAAAGGACACTGACAACTTCAAAGCAAAATGAAGTTCTTTCTGTTGCTTTCAACCATTGGGTTCTGCTGGGCTCAATATTCACCAAATACTCAAACAGGACGGACATCTATTGTCCATCTGTTTGAGTGGCGCTGGGTTGATATTGCTCTTGAATGTGAGAGATACTTAGCTCCATATGGATTTGGTGGTGTTCAGGTAGGTGTTGTTTATAGTATAAATTGCTGCCTTCACTGTGCTTATAGTAAATGGTATTCTCATCAGTGTCTGTCAAGCTGAAGCACCATTTTGTAATACTTCATATATAAGTACTCTAAGTAAGTACTGCAGAAGAAGCAAGTATTGTTGTAATTTTATAGGTTGTTTCTGATACCTTTTTTCAGCAGGAAATTTCCAGTGTGTGCTGTTAATATTTTCAAGTGATTGAAAAGAAATGTAATTGCATATACAAGGATTCAAAAATAATTTTATGTTATCAATTAGTTTCTAGAACATCTAATGATATAAAGTAAGCCATGATTTGATGCTTATTAATGTTGTTTTATTTATAGGTCTCTCCACCCAATGAAAATATTATAATTAACAGCCCTTCTAGACCCTGGTGGGAAAGATACCAACCAGTTAGCTATAAATTGTAGCTTAAATTGTGCACAAGATCTGGAAATGAGATGAATTCAGGAACCATGGTGGCGGGTGACTAGATTGAACAATGTGGTGTAACTGAATTCATTTTTCCTTAAATTGTTGTATAGGAATAGTAATTTCTCTCCTTCTATTTTTTGCCTTTAGCAGAAATTTCATATTTTAAATTTTCATTTTATGAGTTACTTTAGTTATAAGTCAGATAATATACGTTGCTTATAGTTCAACTTTTATAAATGTTATGAATTTGCCTATTATCTACTAAAGAAGAGAAGTTAAAGTTTAAAGCAATTATAAAAAGCAAGAATGTCAAATTTAACCCTTAAAGCTATATGTATTTTCTGGAAACAACTTTTCTGGTTAGGAATTGAAAATTCCAGTGAAGTATTTCGCGTCCATTTTTGTGTGACTTATGTCTCCACCGCAGTAATATCCTGCTGTCTCTTCCCTATAGGCTTTTTTAGAAATAGTGAATAGGTTTTTCTGTATTTTATAACCAAAGCATAAATGAGTAGAATTAAGTGTTACCTTCTCCTTTCAAGATGCTAAGTAGACATGTAGAAACTAGTGCTTTCTTTCTCTCTAGTGGACCACTGAAAGTTCATCAAACCAATATTGCCTGTATGCTCCAAGTGATTTTACCGACCCATATGGCTCTTTGCATTTATAAATATAAATTCCATGGTGGTTTGATTCTCTTAATGTATCAGTCCTGTAAATTGACAAAGTGCTAGAATGGACATAGGTTTTCAGCTCAGTATTAGTTTTTCATACAAACCTTTGGTATTTTAGAAAATAAGTTATAAGATAACAAGGAAATTTGGAATTAATTAGAACCATGATATAAACTCTTAATAAAGAATTCTTAATTTTTGTCCTTTGTAATAACAAACTAAAGCTAGACAAATTGTTTTCTTCAGGTCGCGTATTATTGTGGATGCTGTAATGTAATCACATGACTGGTATGAAGGGAGTGGAGAACAAGCAGACTTGTGGAAGTTACTTTGACACCTGGAAATAGGAAATTTCAGCAGTTCCTTATTGGTTGGGACTTTAATGATGGTAATGAAAAACTGGAAGTGGAGGAAATTGGGGAGAGCTATGAATGATGCTTATCAGGTATTTTTTAAGAAAAATAGTGATCGAATAAAGAAGCGTATCTACGCTTTTTAAAATATAATAAGTCAGCACTTCAATTCATTTTAAGATACTAGTTTTTAGACCCCTCACGAACCAAGCTTTACAGGGTCTGACTGCTTGAAATAAGAAACTTGCAAATCAAATTTAAAATTTTCCCTAATCCAATAAATAGCTTATCATATTTATCTATATTCCATTTTATACTAGAAATATTTCAAAAAGGGTCATTAGTACAATTCAATAATCTCAAAGGGCCCAATGGCAAACAAGAACTACTAGAGAGTTTCTATTGATGATAAGTAATGAATTGTCCATGATCTCAGGTGAAAGATGATTGTTTAAAAATTTTCACCTCAACAGGTCAGAGATTGTCGTCTGGTTGGTCTTCTTGATCTTGCCCTGGAGAAAGATTACGTGCGTTCCACTATTGCTAACTACATGAACCATCTCATTGACATTGGTGTGGCAGGTTTCAGAATTGATGCTGCCAAGCACATGTGGCCTGGAGACATGAAGGCAGTTTTGGATAAACTGCATAACCTAAACACAAAGTGGTTCCCTGAAGGAAGTAGACCTTTCATTTACCAAGAGGTACATCTACATATATAAGTATATATGTGTATGTGTATAAAATAATATTGTATAAAATTAATGGAAGACTTAATTAAATATGCAATTTCTATACACTAATGGCTGAATCATTTATGTAGAGCAGTGTTCTTTAGTTTTATTTTAATTCAGATACAATACATCTAATTCTTTATCACAATAGGTTCTATGGAAGTACAGAGAATTTATTTAGGCTACAAACTTCACTGTGCCATTTACTATCTCTCCAGAGACTGTTATGGAAGACTGAGAATCATAGTTTTTGTTGTCTTGAGCTGATCTATCTGAGTTTAAATCTTGGCTGTACCACCATTAGCTCTGTTAGTTTTTAGGCAAATTAATTAAACTCTTTGCTCAACAGTTATTTCATGTGAACAAAAGGGCTAATGATAATGGTTGTGTTTTTATTTTCTTTAGAGAATTAAATGGGTTAATATTTATCAAGTGCTGAGAAGTGTTGTTGGTCAGATAGTAAATGCCAAATTAATGTGACCTATTGTTATTATCATTTATGTACAAGACTAAAAATTAGGTCAGCATCCTCACAGTGCAATAGGTCATCTTTTCATTATGTTTCCTTTAATATAGTACCACATATTTCATTAGAATAAGTAAGAATTTTGGTATAAGGAAAACCATTTTGAGTATTTCAAATAACATAAATAGTTTAAAGCTATTTTCTATATAATACTAATTTTTGGTTAGAATAGTTTAAATTTCTTATGTATGTAAAATGATATTTTTTCCTGTCTTTCTACTAGGTAATTGATCTGGGTGGTGAGGCAATTACAAGCAGTGAGTACTTTGGAAATGGCCGTGTGACAGAATTCAAGTATGGTGCAAAACTAGGCACAGTTATTCGCAAGTGGAACGGAGAGAAGATGTGTTACTTAAAGTAAATAAAATACAATTTGTCCTTTGAATTATTTCACAGGGCTATTAGTCATATTACCCCAATATGAGTCATCTTCTCAGAACCTTCCTATTTAGAAAACTGTTGGGTCAGTTATTAATTTAAATGTTATAGTGTCACAAACACCAATTGATCATCTTTTGTATTTAGAATGTCAGTCATAAGAAAGTATGCCTAGAAACCCAAAATGTTTTCAAGGCATTTTAATCTGTATATGATATTAGTATACTAGATTTGACTAATGTTTACATATGATCTTTTAAATCCAGATTATTATTAAAATAATCATACTATTTATAAAATACCTAAAATGTGACCATACTATGGAATTTACATGTATCAATTCATTAATTCTAAATATTGAAATGTTTATAACAATATAGTATTGAAGCCTATTTTAATCCAGGTTGCCATTCTGTATAATGTGATATGGATGTTGACCCTTCTTAGGTTCATCTAAATTACAATATACTGAAACGTCTAAAAGGACCCTTTTTTATACCAAAAATCTATAGCTGTAACATGAATGGAATACAAGTAATCCATACATATATACAAACATAGATTACGTTTGTAGATTGTGTGTGTGTGTGTGTGCGCGTGTGTGTATACATATTTTCCCCTACAGAATAAACATTTAATTAGAGAATTTAATCTGAATATGCTATACAGAAAGAAATGCACAGAGGTTACTCTAAAGTTATTGTAAGGGAATACAAAAATGTATATATTATTTTTTTTAATAGGAACTGGGGAGAAGGTTGGAGTTTCATGCCTTCTGACCGAGCACTTGTCTTTGTGGATAACCATGACAATCAACGAGGACATGGAGCTGGTGGAGCATCTATTCTTACATTCTGGGACTCTAGGTAGCAAACAAAGTTCTCTAGTGTTTTTGCCTACCTTTCAATCATGGTAAGAAAATTCTATTCTTCTATAATAATACTTTGTGACTTTCAGACTTTATAAAATGGCAGTTGGATTTATGCTTGCCCATCCTTATGGATTTACACGAATAATGTCAAGCTACCGTTGGCCAAGATATTTTGAAAATGGAAAAGTAAGTTTTGAAGTTGTTCAAAAGATCTTTTTCTCAAGAAAAAGGAGGGAATTTTGTTGTAATTTAACATGAGGCTATGACATCCAATATGTATTCATCAAATATTAAGTATAAACCTGATGCAGAACTCTGATTTTGGTAATGCAGAGAATAGTAAAAAAGTAAAATTCATATTTTCTGTTGTCAAAGAGTATGAAAGCTGTTTCAGAAATATAACAACAATCCCCTACCCTCTAGAGAAAATACTTAAAGATAAGAGCAAGATATAGGGAGTAAAATATGTATTTCTAAGAAATAGCTACCTCATGGGACAGATATGAGGAGTATGCAACTAACCCTTGTAAAGAACTTAAAACTTTACCTGCCCATTGTGAACACAATATAAGTATTTGTTAAATACTTTAAAAAAGAAGTTTTATGGAATGCAAAGAAATAATTCAGTTGAGATGAAGTTAAATAGGGAAAGTACCTTACAAGAGGAAGAAAATTACATATATTAAGGAATGTACAGACTATTTCAGGAAAGGTAAAAATAAGAAAAATAATGGAGTATGTGGTAAAGGCATTAATCTGACTAGCAATTTCAAAAAGGAACCAAGAAGTAAGATTACGAAGACATTTAGAAAACTAGTGGAAGGTTTTCTTTTTAAACTGAAGATTTCAGAAGCAGCCGTCATACAGAAACTTCACACCTAAAGCGGAAATTTTTCATCCCTACGAGTCAGACAGGTATCTATCTAGTTTTTCCTAGACTCCTTTGAATTTGTGAAGCTTACTACTGTGTACAGTATATTTTACTGTTAGATTTAGTATTAAGAACATGTTCCTTTATATTGAGCCAACTTCACATAGTTTCCGCCAATAGGTCTTATTTTTGATGTCAGGAATCATGACCTATTTCATTTTCCCTTTTTCCAATAACATTTCCCTTTCCAGAGACTTTTGCATACTAAAAACTCTTAATTTTGTTCATTATTCAGCATAACACATGATTTTAAGACAGGCACTGATTATGCTCCTAGACTTTCTTTTTTTTCCTGTGAATATCTTTAAAAATGCCCATCAGAAAAACATGCTATTAAAAATTTGGTCAGTTTTGTAAAAAATATTAAGATGGGTGAATTACTACATGTATCCAAAAGGAAGTATGAAAGGAACTAATATTTATGTAACAATGATCATATTCAAGGCATTTTCCCATACATTATTTAATTTTTATAGCAACCGAGCAATATCCCCATTTTATAGATAAGCAAACTGAGAAGTTTTTCTCAGCTGGTAGTGATGGAGACTATGTTTTAGTCCTGGTGTTTCTAACACTAAAGCCCTTGCCATTTCAGTGAGATTGCACAGCTTACAGTGATTTTAAGAAGACATTGCAGTTCCTCAGAAAGAAAACAAGAGGATAAAAAGTTGTTAGTCTGGTTTAAAATGTGGCACTAAAGAACCAGAGGATAGAGAGATGATGAAGACTCAGTAAAAGGCTGAAATAAGGAAAGTGTTAAATTCTAAATAAAGACACTGCCCAGACTCAAGTATCAGGATAGACCAGCTCTGGTGTAATGGAGAAGGAAGAGGCCAATACATATACGTTAAAACACGAGTGTTTCTCTTCTTCCTCATTAAGGATGTTAATGATTGGGTTGGGCCACCAAATAATAATGGAGTGATTAAAGAAGTTACTATTAATCCGGACACCACTTGTGGCAATGACTGGGTCTGTGAACATCGATGGCGTCAAATAAGGTAAGAATATCCATTTAGAGATATCCTTTAATAGCAAACTTTCTTTAACATTTTATTTCTAACTGTTGAAGTTGAAAAAAATCAATATTTTTTAAATGATATTATGTGTTTAGGAACATGGTTGTTTTCCGTAATGTAGTTGATGGCCAGCCTTTTACAAACTGGTGGGATAATGGTAGCAACCAAGTTGCTTTTGGAAGAGGAAACAGAGGCTTCATTGTGTTTAACAATGATGACTGGTGAGTAGATATCCATTAAAAATAATGTTTTATGCTCATATGTTCTTAGTTTATTCTTTTCTCTTCTGCTCATTTACTTTTTTTTGCATCTGAAAACTCCTTTCATCAGTGGAATAAGCAGACAGAGAGATCAGAAAAGGGCAGAAGAAAAATGATGATGGCTCTTATTCTTTTGTTCTCCTATTTTCATAAGGGCTTTCTGTTGTAAGTAGAGTTTGTTTTGTGTGCCCTTGCAACATCATATACATATATATAATGCACACATTTATATATGCTCACATATATAAACCCCACAAAATACACAAAGTAGTTAATATAAGGATTGTGACATCATTAACGGGGCATGTTTGTAGTCTTGTTTTTCTTAATCATGGAAAAATGCTGCCTAAATACTTTTATATATATATATATATATATATGTTTATATATGTTTATATGTATATATATACATATATATAATAGTTATTTTTCTCAAGTACTCCTCTATCATTTCTTTCGTACACTTTCTTCACTACTCTGTCTCTCTGTGAGAAATAATATTTTTTAAAGCATATATATGAAGAATATGTATCATATGGTTAATGATTTGCCTCATGAGATATTTAAGTTTTTGTTCTGAAACTTCACATTACTGGCCTTTCATTTGTCATATTTATATCCTCTCCGTCTAGTATACTAGTTCCCTTATATAAAACTTACAAGATCTCTTTGCAAGCAGTTGAAATGTTTCAGTCCAAGGCCAACTTCCATTCATGCTTAGTTCCTTCTGACCTAAATTACATTTATCTAGCAAAAAATAAATAAATAAATAAATAAATTAGGTACATCTCCTTGCCAAAGATTCAATGTCTAATTTTTTAAATTTCTCTTGTGAATAGACTACCAGAATGAATTTATATGATGCAGCTTTATATTTCAAACTAGGTTCTTCTTCATAGAAATGCTAGATTATTTTTATTTCCAGACCAAATTCTTTTTAGCCTCTTGGAGGAAAAAAAAAAGAGATTTTGAAAAAATAATCTACTTAAATTCTTAAAAGTAATCAGTATTTTCTTAAGTTCATATGAGGACAAATGTGAAATATTTATGTTTACCACAGGTAGTACTTTTATTAAAGTGTGCCAATTCCTACAAATCTTCACTGATATTCTCTAACCTTTATTTTTTTGGTAATATTCACTACTACCTAGGGAACTGTAGAGTCTTCTGTGAGTTAACTTTTAGTCCTGAAAAAGCTATTTGCATCTTCCAGACAGGTCTTTGTGTTTGGATTTTCTTCTTACTGGGACCTTGACTGCTTAGAGTTCCATAGCACAAAGTTAAAATGTTTATTTGTTTTATAGATAGTCTGTATTCTTGCTCTTCATTGTGTTGAATTTAAGTTAAATCTTAAATTTTATTTTACAGGTCCTTATCTTTAACTTTGCAAACCGGTCTTCCTGCTGGAACATATTGTGATGTCATTTCTGGAGATAAAATTGACGGCAATTGCACAGGAATTAAAATCTATGTTTCCGCTGATGGCAAGGCTAATTTTTCTATTAGTAACTCTGCTGAAGATCCATTTATTGCAATTCATGTTGAATCTAAATTGTAAAATTCAGATTAAATACATATCTCAAATCAATAACCATGTGTGTTTCCTTTTTTATATATAAACTCATATTAATTAATTTTTAGTAAAAGCTATAAGTAATCAATTTGAAAAACTCAGAAAAGCATAAATAATCATTTATAATTACATGATTATAAGATAATTGCAATCAACATGTTGGATGTTTTAGAAGACTCACTTTAACATATTTTTCATGGGAATTTCTAAGAACTCAGAAAGACATCTTAACAAATATGTTTGTCATCATTAACACCATTTACCCAGCTATGCATCTCTAAATTCTGTCAGTCTTCCATAGAGTATTTCTATCAGTTAATTGGGGATAGCTGATTTAATGTTGATTCCCATGCAATGTGAGTGCATTTGTGTAGTTTTCACAATATGAAAATACTTTGTTGTTAATGGAGTTGAAAAAGAGAAGAGACCTAAATTATACAATCTACAATTCTGAATTATACTGAGCTCACAGGAATCTATTGTTTCTCAATATTCTTCCCTCTTTTTCATTTTTTTTCTAATGACTTAGACTTACAGTTGCATGGCTTTTTGTTCCTGCTTATAACCTCTACTATGGATGTTTATTTAAAGCTTTCATGACACCATGTGGTCAGGTTTTTTTTCCTAATCCTCTAGCTGTTCATTCTCTTTCATCTTGACTTTAAGTGTGGAGTTTGTTTGTGCTCCCTCCTAGGTCTTCTTATAACTCTCAGTTGTTTTACTTCTGCTCATATGAGAACATAATGGCCATAACTCAGAAGTTCTTTCTTCCTTTCACCTATAAACATATCTACCTCTGCTGTGAAGTAGATTCACTGTACATTAGTTACCACTTCAGCTCATTCATCCTGGGCTGCAGTCTACTACTTGCATGAGTCCAGTGAGACAGAACACATGCAGAAAAGAATTTGCACGTGCAGGGAGATTAGCTAATTCTTCCCATGAAAAATCGGGTCCCATAGGCAGGCGTCATCGCAAAAAACAAGAAACTAATAGAATATAGAAATAATGGAAATGAAAGAATACACAGAGAGGAAGGTAAAGTTTTATAGATTTATATAAAGAAAATAGGAAAGCGAGAGTACTCAGCAGACCCCACAATATCCCTGTCAATTTTGAGGCCAGGAATGAAGTTTCACATAGGTGTTTATAGGTACAGATATCTGTTGCTAGGGGTAACAGGTTTACATAATAACAGTTCAGTTGTCATGGGTAACAGGTTTATATAATAACAGGTAATTTGTTTGGATTAAAAGTTTTTCAGAAAGCTTCTGAAGATTCCTTAATGAACTCTATCTGTGTGAACAAATGGTTACAAAATCTTTCAAAGACAAATTTCTAAGTTCTAAGAGATAGCTATCACTCAACAGAGGGGCAACACAGAGATACAGTGGCTTCATATTTCTTTATCTAGTTATTGTGGATTGAGACAAATAGGAGTAAGCAGGAACTTGTTCCCTTGGGCTAATTGCTTTTAGCCACAGGCGTCTGTCTCATGGGCAGGACACTCTTTGGCTCTCATCCTGTGGCTCCATGTAGACCTGCTTTATAGTTCAAAGCAGGGGAAAACCACAGCATTGAAATGGCCACAGCATTCTTGGAATGCACCCTACCTACATTTGAGAAGCCCTCCTGAGGTGAGGAAGCCTTTGATATGCAAACTAACACGTTCACATATTCCTTCAGGGCAAAGAGCTGCAAAACTCCTGAGATTATTTGTCTCTAATATAGCAATATTAAGCAATTCAATAAAGTAGCAATTTTATGAACCAACATTGCAACATGCATGGAACAGGTTTATTACTTTCAGACAGGCATCAAAGTACAACAGAAGCCTAGGATTCATGATAATCCAGATTTCCAAGGGTCAGAAAAGTTTCCCAGGGTGGATGAAGTCTCAGCTGCATGTGCCTCATTTGCACTGCAGGCAAGGAACCTGAGAAAGCAGCCTGCCCTGGGTTTTATAACGGGGGGTCACATGATGAGCTAGACTAAAGCAATGAAGAACATCCTGTTCTAGGAGGAATAGTAGCAGAGCCTGGGCTGTTTTTGCCAGTTTCTCCTTATCACAGGATATTGAATCTCAGGATTCCAAGCACATTCCACATTTATTCTTGAGAACAACAGGTGACAAAGAGCGAAGAACTGAGTCAGTCCCTGGCCACTTGGAGAACTGTCCTGCATTTGCCCCTCACATTTTCTTCTTTATTCTTGTCTTGATTGTAGATGGAAAAATCTAAACTCTGAAATATTTGAAAGAAGTTTATTCTGAGCCAAATTTGAGGACCATGACCTGGAGCCACTCCCAAGAAGCCTTGAGCAGGTGGACTCACTGTGCCTGGGTTACAGTTTAGTTTTATACATATCAGGGAGATAGGGGTTACAGGTAAAGTCATATCAATACATGGGAGGCATACATTGGCTTGGCCCAAAAGGTTGGGACATCTTGAAGTGGGGGGCTTACAGATTATAAATGGGTTTAAAGATTCTTTGGCTTGTAATTGGTTAAAGACATGAAGCTTTGTCTAAAGGCTTGGAATGTTTTAACATAAGGAGATGTTATCAGAGATAAGCCACCAGACATAGATTTGTTGTGTAAATTGAGGACCTGCAGGTTTGTCTTGCATACCCTTAGGCCTGTTAATGGGTTATAAAGGATGTCCCCAAGAAGGGCAGAGGGCATTATGGGACATATCTGACCTCTCTTCTTTTGTCAGACAATTTAGGATATTCCTTTGGTCACAAGAGAGTTCATTTAGTGAGCTGGTAGGGGTGAGCCTTAAAATTTTATTTTAGTTTACATGATGAAGAAATGATACCTCATTTTACCTAAGGCTATCTTCTCCACTTGTGTTAATGATACCACTCCATTTTTACCTTTTTGAGGACTTTATTTCTTAAACTATCCTCTCTCTTTTGATTTAGTAATCTTTACTGCTATATTGGTTCCCTCAGATTACATGTATAATAGCAGGGGACCTCAAACTTTTTAAACAGGGGGCCAATTCATTGTTCCTTAGACCATTGGAGGGCTGGACTATAGTTTAAAAAAACTATGAACAAATTCCTATGCACATTGCACATATCTTATTTTGAAGAAAAAAAAAACAAATGGGCAAAAACACCCGCATGTGGCCCACAGGCCCTAGTTTGAGGACACCTGTTACAGTTTTCCAACTAAAAAGTCCATGATTCCCCATATATTCTTCTAGATTTAGGTTATTATTTTCCTCCCTTTCCTATTCAAACGTCTATGTTTTCTTCATACCGTCTCCACATCCTCAATTTCAGTTATTTTTAATCTTTCTACTCTCAAGTTTCCATCATCAGCACTTCATTGACACTGTTCTTGTCAACTTCATTAATGACATATATGTTACCAGTCCAATTCTCTATTCTCATCTTACTGTATTTCACAGTACTATTCAAGATGGTGGGCCACTCTCTTCTCCTCTCTTCCTTTGGCCACTGTGATTCTACTTTCCTGGTTTCCTTCTGTCTTACTGATTATTCATTTTCAAATTTTACTGAATCATCTTCTGTTTGACCTAATACCTTGATTGTATCTAAGTCTCTTCTATCTCTATCTTCTCTATCTTCTCTTCTCCTGGCGATTTCCATCATTTCTATGGATTTATAACAGATCCTTTTGTAAACTGGAAGAACATGAAGTCAATTGGTCAAAATCACTGGTGCTTAGCTGAAAAAAAATGATATGATTAAATAAGAAAAAATGTTCCTTAATGTTTAGTCTCTTTGTGAGATGCTTGAATATTTGAATTTTGTAATATATACTCAGCCGCAAATAACAATGGTGATCTAGCACTGCTTGTATTATCCTAGATAGAGCTGGAGCCCAATCTACTAAGAGAAGTTTACAAGAATGGAAGGACAAGCACCACATGTACTCACCATCAAATTGGTATTAACTTATCAACACGTAGGTGCACATTGAGTATTAAGATTCATTGGGTGTCAGGCAGGTGGGAGGAGGGACCAGGGGATGGGTATATTCACACCTAATGGGTGCAGTGTGCACCTTCTGGGGGATGGACATACTTGAAGCTCTGACTTGGGTGAGGCAAAGGCAATATGTGTAACCTAAACATTTGTACCCCCATAATATGCTGAAATAAAATAGCAGATTAAGTGAAAAGAAAAACAATCCTGGTAGGTCTTAAGAACAGTGGTCTCCAGACTGTTGGATGACCAGAATGACCCAGGACAGTGGTTCTCAATCTTGGCTGTACATTGGAATGATCTGGAAATTAAAAAAAAAAAAATACTAATTAAAAACAAATCTTAAAAAATATATTATGCCTGGTTCCCTCCCTCAGAGTTTTGATTTAATTGGTTTGGAGTACAGCATGGGTGCTAGAATTTTTCAAACCTTTCAGTGTGGTTGTAATGTGCAGGCAAGGTTGAGAACTTCCCAGGAAGGGTTTTTATGCATAAAGATTCCTAGACTCTATCCTGGAACTAGTATATATATTAAAATCTCTGAGAATGAGATCTAAGAATCTAATTTGAAAAAGTTTCCTTAGTAATTTCTAAGGACTGACCAGTTTGCATACTACTGTGTTTGAATAAAATGCTTAGACAGCTCATACAAACTTTATCATCCAACCTTTTATAATTAGGAAAACAAAGGTTTAGAGACTGTATATTTCTTTGGTGAAAATTATTAGTACTATGAAAGCAACTCAGAATTCTGTTCATAATCATTATCATCCTAAAAGTACAAAATATTATATAGATATTGAAATTGCAATTGTTATTTTTCTATAGGCACAGTAAATATTTTTTCTAATGTTTTAAATCACACTTTCTGTATAAATTGTTCATTTAGGTAATAAATTTTATACTGACATGATTCACTAATTTTCTAAATACCAATGTTTTAGTTATTTTTTAATAAGCTTTTTTATAATTATGATTATTTTTAATGGACTTTTTGGTATTTTAGATACCTTTTCAGTTCCATACCTTTCAAGTGCTATCCAACTTTGAGAGGAAGA